TTTTGACTTTATATATATAATATGCATATTATTACATAAATATAATTGCTTCATTTATGAAATACAACTGCTGTGCGAAAGATGGAAGTTTGGAAGGGCCGAATGTAAGACAGGCCTGCGTGCCTAATTTGTAACCCTTTGAAAATAATCATTTATTGGATATTATGTACCATCATCCCGCTGCGTCTTTTTTCTCCGTGACTGCATTTGTTGCGATCTGCGTGTGTGAATTAAAAGACTCACCGTGTCTTAAAGAAGTACAAACACATTCACTTTTTCTGTCTGGTGTCACAGCCTATAATAATTTTTTAGCTTCACGCTAGCGTAACAGTTTTAATCAATGTTCTAAACCAATTATTACACTTTTTTGAAGTCTGTGGGAACTATTTTTACTCTTTAATTTCACTAGCTGATTTTCACAGCCTGCTTTCTCTACGAAATTTCTCTTTCCTTTCATTAACCGACGTAGTCTGCTGCACAACCAAACAAAGCACCTTTAATGTACAATTCAAAAGGACATTACAATCTTCACGAAATAATATGTTTGACATATCGTCTGTTCCTTTTCATGTGATCCCAGTCAATCTGGTCGTGTAATCAGCTATGAAGCAAATATAACCGGGTTGTTTTTCTTTCTTGCACACCTCACATAGATCGCACGTGAGCCTGCTCCTGCTGCTTGACCTCTGCTATGGCAAAGGTTAACCAGACAACAGTGGACAACACTGTTCCAGAGGATGAATTAATTAGCGACGACCTTCGGGTTATTCTGCTGACCGTTAACTTCTGTTACATCTGCCAGTTCATCGACGTCGTCGGGACAGCAACAAACATCGTTAACATTATCTGTTTTATCAAACAAGGTTTTAGGGACACCGTTAACATTAGTCTGTTTGGTAAGCAAGTCTATTATAATTTTAATCAAGTAAAAGAAAACAACTAGTGATATCAGTAAAGATAACAAATTCACCGCTAGTCAAAAAAGAGGAGCGTGGGGGAGGGGAGTGGGGGCCATTTTGGTTCATCACCACATTAAGTGTCACACTAGGATGTGTCCTCTCAGTATTGCTCTGTATTACCTTTATGGACATAATTATACAGAATACAAGAGAAGACATTGGAGAAAGGAATCAACTGGTTTTGCACATGATTGTCATCTAATACACAAACAAGAAAAGAACCTACAACATCACAGTGACTCCTTGTATCATAACTGAACATGAGGTGTTGTGAAAATGTTACTAAAAGAAACAGAACACCCTAAACATATATGTAACGCCGCTACAAACAAGTGTAGGAATGCAAACACGGAAGCATTTTTATAGAAGCTGGCGACCTCGATTGAGAAACCAAGGGTCTGGTCCAGAAGGTGAATTATGTCACACTCTTTTTGTTTTGCTCAATTTAGGTGTCTCCTGAGAAAAAATGCGAAGAATATCATTGAAAATAGAAAAACAAAAGAAGCAGTTCTTATCGGGACAGATCAAAATGGTAAACTTATCAGAACAGTTAACCTAGACAGGCAATATTTGTTAGATATTTTATGAGAAGGAACCAGAAAACACAGAACGCCAGGCATAGGACTTCAGCTCACGAAAAGTGTCAGCACAAAAGAAAAAACAGAAGTTCCATTTCTACTTCAGTATCTTATCGGGTGTTTGGTAAGCCAAATGAAGGACCATTTTCCATGTCATTAAGCATACTGGACACATAGGGCTAGACCTATACATTTAGACCAATCAGCACTTGGTGGGTGATGTGGTCAGCATCACGCCTTTCGCCTTTACTTCCTAGAACTTTACCTGGTACGCATTAAAGGCTGGGTCGGCTTGAGAGGTACGGCTGACTGACATTCTACCCCACCAGGACATCACACAAGCGATAAACACCCGATGACACAAAGTGCCACCATGTGGATGAGGATCGCCGTGGAGAGGTCCCAGAAACCGCGTTCAGACAATTAGCCATATTTATGGTCTGCCTATATTGCGGCCCCTGGCAAAAGCCAGGGTGGGGCTTCAAATAACAAAAACATTGGTCCTAAAAAGGACGAAACTTGAATTTCAGGCCTGAGAGGTAAAGGACAAGCCTAGAAAACAAAACATCCAGCTTTTTGCGAATCTGAAACGTCAACCAACGGATCTGCATGCGAGCGTCTAGCGCAATGTTTTCACAGAGTGGGCGCTACCACATCTAGAGGCGCTGGGTGGGAAGAAGGGACGGTGTCTGCTTCGAATAAAATTTGAGGAAGGCAGGGAATTTCAAGGGGGCGATAGTGGCCTTAGTGCAGTTTGAGGTATTGCCAGAAAATAGGGGAAGCTGGAGAGAGAGAGAGACAGAGAGAGAGAGAGAGAGAGAGAGAGAGAGAGAGAGAGGGGAGGGGGGGGAGGGAGAGACAGAGAGAGTCATACAGAGTAAGAGACAGCCTTTTCTGAGATAAACCGTTTGTACCAGTTCCAATGAAGTGTTACAGATTAAAATCCTAATAACTGATTCATTTTACATCAAACAACAAGAAGAAACAGTTATAACTAGGGCTTTACACAGTATACACAGTACTGGCACCTTTATGGACAGCATGTTTAGGGTGACTGAGGAGAATGATTACGGTTTGGGGAGAACGGCTTTGCGAGGAGTTAGCACGGGATCTGACCGACGGTCAACACTCAAGGAAAGGACGAGACGGATATACAATCAAACAGTTACTGGTGCCATTGGAACGTTTGCTGCTGAAGATGGGGACGTACGCCTTTTAATGAGGGTGTCTCGAGTGCTATGATGTCGATTCTTATTTCAAAATTAAACATTGAACATTTTGTGATTGTTATAGAAACTCTGCTGTGAGTACCACCACCTCATTTTTCGTATTCGATTAAAAAAAAAAGAGATAAATACATTGACAGCGTGTCTAGAAACAGAGGGAGGGAGAAAAATACTGTCATGATAAATAAAGGTAAAGGTAAAGTCGGGAGATGTAAACAAGAGTCATTGGACACGGTTATAAACCATTAGTGCTCTGCCACCAGTACGGACAGCTGATAAGAAATTGTTCGCCTATGTCGCCTTTCACACGTAACTGCGTAGCTACAACGACGTTCCTCCATTTACCCCAGAGTGTTAAATCTGGTACCCATTTCCTAGAGTCTGTGTAAAGCCCGGGAACCGCCCTGTTTCGGACACCGGCTGTAGGCTGCAGCGACTGCAGCTGGATTCGAAAACGAGCCGCATATCGACTGCGCTAACGCGGCCCGTTGTCATGATAATTGATTCTTCCAATCATGTAGAAAGGCAGGTCATGGCCGTGTATGCTTTTCAGCTTGGCACATGATGATTGATAGTAATAGTTACAATATCAAGAGGGCGTTGAGTTAATTCTTCAATTGGAAAGGGGGCGGTTGGCCAAAGAAGGTTTAAGAACCAATGGTCTAGCCATTACACCATGCGGACATATGGCAAGTAAGTAAACTAAAGGATTCTTTTCCAAGCCTTTATGAGTAGTGGGCATATAGGGCCAGACTTTATAGACCAGTTGGCTAGAGGGTAATGTCATCAACATCACACCGGCCGCCTTTACTTTCCAAGATTTGATCTGTTGCCCCCTCAAGGTTGCGTGACGTGGGAACCAAGGTCGGTTTTGACCGGTTCCGTTCGGACTCGACCCCATTACATTCTGATCTGCATTCGAGTGTCTGGCCCCTACATCACGACTGCTCCCGGGGTATGGGGCACTAGAGCTATACTTGTGTTCAGACAAACTGGCACAAGGAGGGTGACTGGTGAATATTACATCAGCCGAGTTTTTTTCTTTGAAATTTTATGGTACCCAATTTAGACTAAGTCAACCGGCGAGTCAAGTTCAGATTTAATGTGATGCCGATTTGTCACAAATATTTTGGGAATTTGTAAACGAAGAAGAAAGGAACGAGTAAAAGGACGGTAAGGAACTAAATAAAAATAATACTCTAATAATAATAATAGAAGTAATAATAATAATAATAGTAATAATAATAATAATCAGAAGAAGAAATTGACCAAGAAGTAGAAATAGCAGCAGTAGTAGCAGTGGTAGTAGTAGTAGTGGTAGTAGTAGTAGTAGTAGTAGTAGTAGTAGTAGTAGTAGTAGTAGTAGTAGTAGTAGTAGTAATAGTAGTAGTAGTAGTAGTAGTAGTAGTAGTAGTAGCAGCAGTAGTAGTAGTAGTAGTAGTAGTAGTGGTGGTGGTAGTAGTAGTAGTAATAGCAGTACTGCTACTACTACTACTACTACTAATACTACTACTACTACTACTACTAGTAGTAGTAGTAGTAGTAGTAGTAGTAGTAGTAGTAGTAGTAGTAGTAGTAGTAGTAGTAGTAGTAGTAGTAGTAGTAGTAGTAGTAGTAGTAGTAGTAGTAGTAGTAGTAGTAGTAGTAGTAGTAGTAGAAGAAGAAGAAGAAGAAGAAGAAGAAGAAGAAGAAGAAGAAGAAGAAGAAGAAGAAGAAGAAGAAGAAGAAGAAGAAGAAGAAGAAGAAGAAGAAGAAGAAGTAGAAGAAGAAGAAGAAGAAGTAGAATAAGAAGAAGAAGAAGAAAAAAAGAAGAAGAAGAAGAAGAAGAAGAAGAAGAAGAAGAAGAAGAAGAAGAAGAAGAAGAAGAAGAAGAAGAAGAAGAAGAAGAAGAAGAAGAAGAAGAAGAAGAAGAAGAAGAAGAAGAAGAAGAAGAAAAGAAGAAAGAAGAAGAGGAAGAAGAAAAGTATGATAATGGAGAAAAAAGAAGAAGGGGTCGGAGAAGAGATCAGGAAAAGAAAAAAAGCAGAAAGAATCAAATGAGCGAGAGAAACAAAAAATATAAAATACAGTAACAAGATAAATAAAGGCAGACAGAAAGGCAGACAGAAAGGCAGACAGAAAGGCAGACAGAAAGGCAGACAGAAAGGCAGACAGAAAAGAAGAAAGACATGTCAGTCATACACCTGTATAACTATTTCACACTGGTTAAACGTCTCCTTCAATGCTTCTTTTCCCAGCCTTGTCGGTGGCTGACCTGGTCTGTCTCCTGATCCTCCTCTGGAACAACATCCTCCTCAACCCATTGATCTACACCTTACCCTTCTTCCCATTAGATCAGTTTGAAATCGTTGTCATCACCGCCGTCTGGCCACATGTTGTATTTGCTCGCATCAGTGCTTGCATCACTGCTTTCATCTCCACTGAACGATGTCTGTGTGTTGCGTTTCCTCTTAAGGTAAGTAACCACGCGTATTGTCTGCCTTCTGTTGTATTCGTGTTTCTTGTTAACAATTCATTTCTCTACATAACCTGCTTTTTTGTTTTGTTTTGTTTTTGAGATAATGAACTTATACCACGGTTAATAATAATATTGTCGAAATCCGATGAATGCATAAGTTTATGAATGAATGAAGCAAGAAGGGACATCACTGCACTCAGGGTATTCCCACGTTTGCTCCGTCTCCAGTGTGTCGATATGCTAATAGTACTAGCTGCAAATCCTCATTAAAAGTCCGCTTATGTTTCCTCACACGGCCTTGCCCCCCCCCCCTCCCGCCGTCCCATCCCATTGCCTGCTGAACTAGTCTTTCATTGTATGGTTACTGTGTTCTGTTGCACTGTCCACTTGATCTCAGTGTGCCTTCTCTCCGTCAGCTTTATCATAAAGTAGCTCATCACCAAAGGGACCGTAAGAGCGCATGAATGAAAGCTTAGTTACGCTTTATTTGGGCCGAACATCGTAACAAGTTCCGGAAAATGCATTTTATGTTTGCTCGCCCATGAAATACGTTCTTACTGTTTACATTATCCCAGTCGTGTCTACATTATATTATCTGCGCCTGATCCAAACCCTTCATCTTTAGCCAAATAAGAGTGCATGGAACATACAGACGCAATTCAATACATGTCCGTTTTGGTGACGGACTAGCTTAGAGGCACCAAAGACCGTTTGTGATCTTTCAGAGCAGGTTCGTTTTGTCGGCTGAACTGCCCAAGGCAATACACACTGTAATAATGGAAAGTCAATGGTGTTATTTTAGGACAAGTACAGAAATTTAAGTATCTGGGCACATGGATAACATCAGATGGAAGATGCATAACTGAAATAGGAAACAGTGTTGGACAGGCAAAAACTGCATTTTATAAAATGAAAAACATCTTGTGCAATATATCCTTGTCATTGAGAGTTAGAAACAGAATTCTTGCTTGCTACATACATCCAGTTTTAACATATGGATGTGAATCCTGGACAATCGGTAGGCAGGCCAAACAATTTTTAGAGGCCTCAGAGATGTGGTTTTACAGAAGAATGCTTAGAAAACCTTGGTCAGCCAAAAAGAGCAACCAAGAGGTTTTGAAAGAGGTGGGAGCCCAAAGACAACTTATCACAGACATCAAAAGGAGACAGTCATCATTTTTCGGCCATGTTATGAGAAGAGGGAAAATAGAACATGTTGTGACCACTGGAAAGATCTGTGGGAAAAGGGATAGAGGAAGACAACGAGAGAAGATGCTTGACAGTCTTGTTGCATGGCATGGAGGTGTGTCGGCACACGAACTGATACATGCTGCAGGAGATTGCAGATTATGGAGAGGCATGATCGCCCACGCCAGTCGGCAAGGCACCTGATAATGATGATGAATAATGGAAAACCCAAGAAACCCAAAATAATGTCACGGATGACGTGGCGTAGAGGGCCAGAAGACCATATAAAGCGAGGGACGCAGGAAAATGATGTCTTTAGTGTATTTCGTGTTTTTATGAATTAAGATGAGCGGAAGGCATGAGATTGGAAGGAACGTTTGAAGACGAGAGAGGATAGGAAATCAGTTGATGTTTAGACACGTATGTGTGCGGTCGAATGCAGAGGAACGATTGTGAAGAATGCGGATTGCCTGACTACGTTTAGGGATTGTTTAAGAACTCTGAGAGGCATGGCGGTGTCGATGGGAGTGTATGTCAGCCGACTGCATGATTTGGCTGTGTGGAACTGCAAGTTGAAGATGCCGGCATAAACGAGATGTACAGTCTAAAAGGTAGTTGCATATAGGTCCAACTTGAGATGTTTCTGAAGCAGTATTTGTAATTGGGCTCTTGTATTGTTGACGAGAACACAGAACAGTACAGTACAGTTGTTAGATCAGCTAATAAAATCGATAACTACCGATGGGCGTGTTTGTCATCTAGTTTTTACAACACTAATTTTTTTACAAGAAAAAAAGAACAGTATTTTGATGAGCCCTGATAAGACATAAGGAGGGCTATTGCAGATACACCACTTAAATATGGATAGTCTTCGGCAAGGTAAATACAATCTGAAGAACCTAGTGAACGTTAAGGACGTTATTATATTTGAATTAAATCTAAAACGGACTGAACACACCGCCGTCGGTACAAAATGTAACATAAAATACAGGCATATTCTTCCACAATGAATGTGTATCCTCATCATCGCGTGTCGTAACGGAAAGAACAAGGCGTTATGTTTCGCCGTCTCACACGATTACCAGAATCACAGATGAGCTCAAAGTTTGTGTCTCGCCCTATCCCTTCTGACAAGCCATTCACATATTTATCACTTTGCCTTCCTCTTATTCTTTATCCATTAGTGTTGCCAGTTGTTACCAAGTTAACAAGTCCATTTCTTCTCATACCATGTCCAGAAACCACTGACTGTTGAATTCTAATTGGTTTGACGAGTTTACAACTTTCACCTGTCTCCATGAGGACTGCTTCATTTTTTTTTTTTTTTTCTATCTCTGAATGATATCCTTTGCATTTTCTTTCAGGGGTAAGTCTGGTGCATCAACGGTGGTCATTGCCCGCTTAGTCCATGAAGTAACGCCATCTAGGTACAGGCAGGTTCTCAGAGGCTTTTAATAGAAGACTCCCCCCCCCCCCACCCCTATATTCTTCTTCTTCTTCTTTCTTTTTCTTCTTCTTCTTCTTCTTCTTTCTTTTTCTTCTTCTTCTTCTTCTTCTTCTTTTTCTTCTTCTTCTTCTTCTTCTTCTTCTTCTTCTTCTTCTTCTTCTTCTTCTTCTTCTTCTTCTTCTTCTTCTTCTTCTTCTTTCTTTCTTCTTCTTCTTCTTCTTCTTCTTCTTCTTCTTCTTCTTCTTCTTCTTCTTCTTCTTCTTTCTTCTTCTTTCTTCTTCTTCTTCTTCTCTTCTTCTTCTTCTTTCTTCTTCTTCTTCTTCTTCTTCTTCTTCTTCTTCTTTCTTCTTCTTCTTTTTCTTCTTCTTCTTCTTCTTCTTCTTCTTCTTCTTCTTCTTCTTCTTCTTCTTCTTCTTCTTCTTCTTCTTCTTCTTCTTCTTCTTCTTCTTCTTCTTCTTCTTCTTCTTCTTCTTCTTCTTCTTCTTCTTCTTCTTCTTCTTCTTCTTCTTCTTCTTCTTCTTCTTCTTCTTTCTCCTCCTTTTCTTCTTCTTCTTCTTCTTCTTCTTCTTCTTCTTCTTCTTCTTCTTCTTCTTCTTCTTCTCTTCTTCTTCTTCTTCTTCTTCTTCTTCTTCTTCTTCTTCTTTTTTCTTCTTCTTCTTCTTCTTCTTCTTCTTCTTCTTCTTTCTTCTTCTTCTTCTTCTTCTTCTTTCTTCTTCTTCTTCTTCTTCTTCTTCTTCTTTTCTTCTTCTTCTTCTTCTTCTTCTTCTTCTTCTTCTTCTTCTTCTTCTTCTTCTTCTTCTTCTTCTTCTTCTCCTCCTCCTCTTCTTCTTCTTCTTCTTCTTCTTCTTCTTCTTCTTCTTTCTTCTTCTTCTTCTTCTTCTTCTTCTTCTTCTTCTTTCTTCTTCTTCTTCTTCTTCTTCTTCTTCTTCTTCTTCTTCTTCTTCTTCTTCTTCTTCTTCTTCTTCTTCTTCTTCTTCTTCTGTCTTTTTTCTTTTTCTTTCTTCTTCTTCTTCTTCTTCTTCTTCTTCTTCTTCTTCTTCTTCTTCTTCTTCTTCTTCTTCTTCTTCTTCTTCTCTTCTTCTTCTTCTTCTTCTTCTTCTTCTTCTTCTTCTTCTTCTTCTTCTTCTTCTTCTTCTTCTTCTTCTTCTTCTTCTTCTTCTTCTTCTTCGTCTTCTTTTTTAATTTGCTTAAAAAAGTGGTCTATATCAGCAATTTTGTCTCGAAAAAATATTTAACTTCTGTTGTTAGTTCAATCAGTGGTCCATGGAGTTTACGTTCCATTGTTGTTCTTTTTGGTCAAAAGGTTTGCCTTAATGTGTCAAATTCGGAGCATTCCTGGAACATATATCCTGCTATCTGAGGCACCTTGCAACCTGTGAACATGGCTGATACGCCTATCTTGAAATTTGTGTGCATGTGGTTACGTAATTTGTTGTGCCTTGTTCTGAGGCGGTTCTAGTAGTTTCTAAGTGCTGCAAGTACAGATTTTGCATCTTTCAGCAACCACAGACTGTGAGTCAAGGTTGGTATTTATCAGTTTCTTTGTTGCTATCTTGATAGGCTGGGTTTCTACATCATAGTTATGGCAGTACTTCGAGGTCGGCATACCGGACTTATCCATAGTACCATCTGGGAATTCTATGTACACTCCTGCGCTATCTGTATAGGCTCGAACCCATTGTTCTTGTGGGTATTCTTTATCAACAAAGCTCAAGGTTGTCATTCTGCTTTGTATACTGTCTTGCTCTTTCTTGTAGGATATTTCTTTCACATTCGTTTAGATTTGTACTGCTACTTTGCATTTGTCTTTCTATGGCACTACTCTTTTCTGATGTCCTCTGGCTCTACAGGACATCTGAGAAGGACCTCCAGTAATTTGAGTTTGGCCTCTTCGAGGCAGATGGCCCGGCACTGTTCCTGCGTTAGAGTAGATCACAGGGCAAGCACCAAATCGTTTTGTTAATTTAGGCATATTTCCATGGCGTGTGTGCATGGCATCCTGATTGTTGTGGAGCGCCTCTTGGTTGGTTGCCTCCGACTTGAGCACCTTGCCTCGCTAGGGTGGACTGTGATCATACTCGAGGAGCAGTCGAGTTTTATAAATACATACTCACATACACTCACACACTTTCGAGTTTCTCAGACCTTGTCTAAGATGTATTTCACCGCACAACATATTCCAACAATCTTGACTGACTACAGTACGTCACATCTCTATAATAAGCTTATATTGTCACTTCCATAAACAGGTGAATACCATGATCACACGGAAGCGAGTCACGGTGATAATAGCTTGTATCTACGTCATCAACGTGGCCAGCGTCTCCCCGATCTACTACTGCAACCGCTTCTCCTGGAAGTT